GGGTTGGGAATCTGAATAACAACCACTTACTCTTGTTCATAACTAGTCAGGGCTCGAACTGTGCTTGAGGTACTGTAAGTGCATTTTCAACCTTGTTTGTATTTCACAATACTCTTGTGCATTCACTGGCTAGCTTGTGGATGATAATGTTTAACTGTTTAAACTGATGACAATGCAGTTCAAGTCAACTTAAAGATCAAACATTGTGTTTTTGATATAGGAAGAACTAAAAATGAACAGTATAAGCATTATCAAATTATTTTATTCAAACTTTTCTTTGTAAAATTACAAAAATACAAGTAACAGAAACCCATTGGGTTCAGATTGACTGATGTATGGAATAGTAACGTGCTATTCTGATACAATGTAAGACATTGTACGGTAACATGTCTTTGTATTCATCCTGCAAAAGTATACATTTCAACAGATAAAAGGGTAAATAGCAACATGATATGGAAAATGGAAAATAAGAGCACTTCCTCCCAGCTGCCCACTGCACTGAGGCTAGGAAACACTATCACCACAGATAAATCTACAATAATCGAGAATTTCAACAAGCATTTTGCTATGGCTGGCCATGCTTTCCACCTGGCTACCACTACCCCGGCCACCAGCTCTGCACCCTCCGCTGCAACTTGCCCATGCCCCCCCCGCTTCTCCTTCACACAAATCCAGACAGCTGATGTTCTGAAAGAGCTGCAAAATCTGGACCCCTACAAATCATCTGGGCTAGACAATCTGGACCCTTTCTTTCTAAAACTAGCCGCCGAAATTGTCGCAACCCCTATTACTAGCCTGTTCAATCTCTCTTTCGTAACGTCTGAGATCCCCAGAGATTGGAAAGCTGCCGCGGTCATCCCCCTCTTCAAAGGGGGTGACACTCTAGATCCAAACTGTTACAGACCCATATCCATCCTGCCCTGCCTTTCAAAAGTTTTTGAAAGCCAAGTCAACAAACAGATCACCGACCATTTCGAATCCCACCGTACCTTCTCCGCTATGCAATCCGGTTTCCGAGCTGGTCATGGGTGCACTTCAGCTACACTCAAGGTCCTAAACGATATTATAACCGCGATCGATAATAGACAGTACTGTGCAGCCGTTTTCATTGACCTGGCCAAGGCTTTCGACTCTGTCAACCACCGCATTCTTATTGGCAGACTAAATAGCCTTGGTTTCTCAAATGACTGCCTCGCCTGGTTCACCAACTACTTCTCAGATAGAGTTCAATGTGTCAAATCGGAGGGCCTGTTGTCTGGACCTATGGCAGTCTCTATGGGGGTGCCAGAGTTCAATTCTTGGGCCGACTCTTTTCTCTGTGTATATCAATGACGTCGCTCTTGCTGCTGGTGACTCTCAGATCCACCTCTACGCAGATGACACCATTTTGTATACATCTGGCCCTTCATTGGACACTGTGTTAACAAACCTCCAAACGAGCTTCAATGCCATACAACACTCCTTCAGTAGCCTCCAACTGCTCTTAAACACTAGTAAAACTAAATGCATGCTCTTCAACCGAACGCTGCTTGCACCCGCCCACCCGACTAGAATCACTACTCTCGACGGGTCTGACCTAGAGTATGTGGACAACTACAAATATCTAGGTGTCTGGTTAGACTGTAAACTCTCCTTCCAGACTCACATTAAGAATCTCCAATCCAAAGTTAAATCTAGAAATCGGTTTCCTATTTCGCAACAAAGCCTCCTTCACTCATGCTGCCAAACAAGCCCTCGTAAAACTGACTATCCTACCGATCCTTGACTTCGGCGATGTCATTTACAAAATAGCTTCCAACACTCTACTCAGCAAATTGGATGTAGTCTATCACAGTGTCATCCGTTTTGTCTCCAAAGCCCCATATACTACCCACCACTGTGACCTGTACGCTCTTGTTGGCTGGTCCTCACTACATATTCGTCGCCAAACCCACTGGCTCCAGGCCATCTATAAATCACTGCTAGGCAAATCCCCGCCTTATCTTAGCTCATTGGTCACCATAGCAACACCCACCCGTAGTCTGCGCTCCAGCAGGTATATCTCACTGGTCATCCCCAAAGCCAACACCTCCTTTGGCCGCCATTCCTTCCAGTTCTCTGCTGCCAATGACTGGAACAAATTGCAAAAATCTCTGAAGCTGGAGACACTTATCTCCCTCACTAACTTTAAGCATCAGTTGTCAGAGCACCTTACCGATCACTGCACCTGTACACAGCCCATCTGAAATTAGCCCGCCCAACTACCTCATCCCTATATTGTTATTTATTTTGCTCATTTGTACCCCAGTATCTCTATTTGCACATCATCTCTTGCACATTATCATTCCAGTGTTAATACTAATTGTAATTATTTTGCACTATAGCCTATTTATTGCCTTACCTCCATAACTTGCTACATTTGCACACACTGTATATATATGTATTTCTGTTGTATTTTTGACTTTGTTTTGTTTTACCCCATATGTAACTCTGTGTTGTTGTTTTTATCGCACTGCTTTGCTTTATCTTGGCCAGGTCGCAGTTGTAAATGAGAACTTGTTCAAAACTGGTTTACCTGGTTAAATAAAGGTGAAATAAAATAAAATAAATAAAAACATACATACAGTGGGGAGAACAAGTATTTGATACACTGCCGATTTTGCAGGTTTTCCTACTTACAAAGCATGTAGAGGTCTGTAATTTTTATCATAGGTACACTTCAACTGTGAGAGACGGAATCTAAAACAAAAATCCAGAAAATCACATTGTATGATTTTTAAGTAATTAATTTGCATTTTATTGCATGACATAAGTATTTGATACATCAGAAAAGCAGAACTTAATATTTGGTACAGAAACCTTTGTTTGCAATTACAGAGATCATACGTTTCCTGTAGGTCTTGACCAGGTTTGCACACACTGCAGCAGGGATTTTGGCCCACTCCTCCATACAGACCTTCTCCAGATCCTTCAGGTTTCGGGGCTGTCGCTGGGCAATACGGACTTTCAGCTCCCTCCAAAGATGTTCTATTGGGTTCAGGTCTGGAGACTGGCTAGGTCACTACACGACCTTGAGATGCTTCTTACGGAGCCACTCCTCAGTTGCCCTGGCTGTGTGTTTCGGGTCGTTGACATGCTGGAAGACCCAGCCACGACCCATCTTCAATGCTCTTAATGAGGGAAGGAGGTTGTAGGCCATGATCTCGCGATACATGGCCCCATCCATCCTTCCCTCAATACGGTGCAGTCATCCTGTCCCCTTTGCAGAAAAGCATCCCCAAAGAATGATGTTTCCACCTCCATGCTTCACGGTTGGGATGGTGTTCTTGGGGTTGTACTCATCCTTCTTCTTCCTCCAAACACGGCGAGTGGAGTTTAGACCAAAAAGCTCTATTTTTGTCTCATCAGACCACATGACCTTCTCCCATTCCTCCTCTGGATCATCCAGATGGTCATTGGCAAACTTCAGACAGGCCTGGACATGCGCTGGCTTGAGCAGGGGGACCTTGCGTGCGCTGCAGGAGTTTAATCCATGACGGCGTAGTGTGTTACTAATGGTTTTCTTTGAGACTGTGGTCCCAGCTCTCTTCAGGTCATTGACCAGGTCCTGCCGTGTAGTTCTGGGCTGATCCTTCACCTTCCTCATGATCATTGATGCCCCACGAGGTGAGATCTTGCATGGAGCCCCAGACCGAGGGTGAGTGACCGTCATCTTGAACTTCTTCCATTTTCTAATAATTGCGCCAACAGTTGTTGCCTTCTCACCAAGCTGCTTGCCTATTGTCCTGTAGCCCATCCCAGCCTTGTGCAGGTCTACAATTTTATCCCTGATGTCCTTACACAGCTCTCTGGTCTTGGCCATTGTGGAGAGGTTGGAGTCTGTTTGATTGAGTGTGTGGACAGGTGTCTTTTATACAGGTAACAAGTTCAAACAGGTGCAGTTAATACAGGTAATGAGTGGAGAACAGGAGGGCTTCTTAAAGAAAAACTAACAGGTCTGTGAGAGCCGGAATTCTTACTGGTTGGTAGGTGATCAAATACTTATGTCATGCAATAAAATGCAAATTAATTACTTAAAAATCATACGTGATTTTCTGGATTTCACAGTTGAAGTGTACCTATGATAAAAATTACAGACCTCTACATGCTTTGTAAGTAGGAAAACCTGCAAAATCGGCAGTGTATCAAATACTTGTTCTCCCCACTGTACATACATACATACATACATACATACAAGGTCTGTACCTGATAAACATTCACAGCACTGCATGATCCAAGGTTTTCCCTAGGAACTCACAATTCAAAACCAACAATGTAAACTCAACATCAGTTACATTTTAGATAAGGCAATACGTTCTGAGAAGGAACAACTCCAAGGTCAAAATATCCACCTGGAATTAATACCTTTGCGTAACTTTTGAACAATCAAAGCATTTTACAGTTTCTGCTCAGACATGTTCAACTTTTTAGTTACAATGTATCAGATTTCAAAAAGAATGCCCATATTATATTATACACCCTGAACATGTGGCCCATTGCATCAGGAAAGGATTCATGACATACAGAAATAAAGCTATTGTAGACTTCAACAACACAACCTGTTTCAGTAGCTCTCAAAGTGCTTTACATTATATACAGTAGATAACACACCTTATCTTGCATTATGTTGCACCCACCTGCTACAACAATGTGCTGTGCAGTAATTCCCTTTCTAATAACAGTCATGTAAAGAGTAGCCTACATTTCTCAACACAGCCTAGTGCATAATCATTCAAAAAATATGGTTAATCTGCTATGAAATCCAAAGTTTAATTGGTTCAAGACTTGATCACATTATATTACACTCTTTACACCACAATATAAATATTGTGCAACATTGCAATTTGAAGGCATCACTTTGGTTCTTTAACAGATGATGTAGAGGCTCAACATTTAGCCTAGCTATGGACTGGGTGGGAATCAACCTGTTATGAATGAAGACAGTTGTTTGAAAGCAGAAAAGTAACATTTAGCCTAGAGCACTACTCGGAATGAGTAAAATGTTTAGTTCCCAATGTGAGACACCAAATTTGAGAACTTACCTCAGAGTACAGTGGTGGAGGCTGGAACCTGAACTCCTGGATGTAAGAAAGGGCTTGTCCACCAAGCTGTCTCTCCAACTCCTCGGACTGAGAGTAAGAGGGGCTGTGCAGTTCAAACTCTTCCTCAGACACCACATCCGCATAGTTAGGAGGGGCTGGGGATTAACCAGAAGGTAAACAACACGTCAGAAACAACTTTGTATCTACTCAAAACTGTGTTGGTGAAAGCTTCAACAAATCTTTAACACAAATACATGAAGTTAGACCATGACAATGAACGGGAGTTCATATATGACCCCTTCTAAACTCTGTTTAGACAAAGCTTTTTCATAAATAAGGGGAGCAACTGAGCAGCATCCAAGGATAGTGTGTGTGTGTGTGTGTGTGAAAGCATTTTTGTAAGGCCTCTCCTTACCTTCAGGCACTTCAGGAAGTGCCAGTGCGAGCCAGCTCATGTCCATGCTGAAGTGTCTGCTCAAGCTGGAGCTTCTGCCGTCAAGGCCGTTGTATGGTATACTGCCAATCACAATGGGAAGCTCCACCTTGAGTTTCTTAGCACCTGGTATCTGTGCCATGACCTCCACATAGGAAAGGAAATAAGCAGGCATACGTTCTACCATCTGAATGCTGACTTTGAACACATCACTTATTTAGCTCATACTTAGCATACACACATCCATAGAAAAACCATGCAGATGGTATAACACAACACAATGTGGTCTACAATGGAATTTATACCACACTTTAACAATTTAATAGATTTGAGTAACAAAATATCCATAGAAAAGGGCACGCACTGCCAGGGAGTATTCCACTCTGATGACTGAGGAGTTGAGAATTGAGGCAGAGACAGGTGGGATCTTCAGTATTTTTCCATTCCAGGTGTCTGTGCAGCCTGATGGAATGTGGTTACCCCTCACGCTGGCAACCAACTTTGTATAACTTTTTGTTTTGCCATTTGCCATGAAGGTCTGTATTTGGTAGATAGCTGCTTTAGGCACGATGAGTCGAGAAGAACAGTTCTCAATCACAGCATTGATGGGGATTGACTCTCCTAGAACAAATAAATGAATATTGAGGACATTGCACTATAATTTCACTTTTGTTATTAGAGACATAACAAATCTTCCTTCATGACAACATGAATGATAAAAAACAAACTTTAGAAACATTATTACCATTACAGTAGCCCATTCTGTTGATATTGACATTCAGAGAGATGGGGCCGGAGGTAAAAATCCAACAGCCAATCATCTTCTCGTTGTTTGTAGACACAGAGGACTGCAAAATAGTAACAAATGAGAAGGGAGATTTCCAAGAATGCTACATTCACTTAATATGGTGCTAAATGTTTTGTGGTTACTCTTGGAAACACCAACAAAATGTAAAAGCAGTTTCCACAGTCACAGACTTGAAAATCTAAAGGTGTCATCTATGTTTTAATAGACAGCAAGATGGTTGAGAGCCAATGTGTTGCATGTACAGTGGGGAAACAAAGTATTTAGTCAGCCACCAATTGTGCAAGTTCTCCCACTTAAAAAGATGAGAGAGGCCTGTAATTTTCATCATAGGTACACGTCAACTAAGACAGACAAATTGAGAAAAAGAAATCCAGAAAATCACATTGTAGGATTTTTAATGAATTTATTTACAAATTAGGGTGGAAAATAAGTATTTGGTCACCTACAAACAAGCAATATTTCTGGCTCTCACAGACCTGTAACTTCTTCTTTAAGAGGCTCCTCTGTCCTCCACTCGTTACCTGTATTAATGGCACCTGTTTGAACTTGTTATCAGTATAAAAGACACCTGTCCACAACCTCAAACAGTCACACTCCAAACTCCACTATGGCCAAGACCAAAGAGCTGTCAAAGGACACCAGAAACAAAATTGTAGACCTGCACCAGGCTGGGAAGACTGAATCTGCAATAGGTAAGCAGCTTGGTTTGAAGAAATCAACTGTGGGAGCAATTATTGGGAAATGGAAGACATACAAGACCACTGATAATCTCCCTCGATCTGGGGCTCCACGCAAGATCTCACCCCGTGGGGTCAAAATGATCACAAGAACGGTGAGCAAAAATCCCAGAACCACACGGGGGGACCTAGTGAATGACCTGCAGAGAGCTGGGACCAAAGTAACAAAGCCTACCATCAGTAACACACTACGCCGCCAGGGACTCAAATCCTGCAGTGCCAGACGTGTCCCCCTGCTTAAGCCAGTACATGTCCAGGCCCGTCTGAAATTTGCTAGAGTGCATTTGGATGATCCAGAAGAGGATTGGGAGAATGTCATATGGTCAGATGAAACCAAAATATAACTTTTTGGTAAAAACTCAACTCGTCGTGTTTGGAGGACAAAGAAATGCTGAGTTGCATCCAAAGAACACCATACCTACTGTGAAGCATGGGGGTGGAAACATCATGCTTTGGGGCTGTTTTTCTGCAAAGGGACCAGGACGACTGATCCGTGTAAAGGAAAGAATGAATGGGGCCATGTATCGTGAGATTTTGAGTGAAAACCTCCTTCCATCAGCAAGGGCATTGAAGATGAAACGAGGCATAAGTGCATCGATGATGTCGTCCCCACAGTGACCGTACGTACATACCCCAACCAGAAGCCATGGATTACAGGAAACATCCGCACTGAGCTAAAGGGTAGAGCTGCCGCTTTCAAGGAACGGGACTCTAACCCGGACGCTTATAAGAAATCCCGCTATGCCCTCCGACGAACCATCAAACAGGCAAAGAGTCAATACAGGAATAAGATTGAATCGTACTACACTGGCTCTGACGCTCGTCGGATGTGGCAGGGCTTGAAAACTATTACAGACCACAAAGGGAAGCACAGCCGCGAGCTGCCCAGTGACACAAGCCTACCAGACGAGCTAAACCACTTGCATGAGAGCACCAGCTGTTCCGGATGACTATGTGATCAAGCTCTCCGTAGCCGATGTGAGTAAGACTTTTAAGCAGGTCAACATTCACAAGGCCGCAGGGCCAGACGGATTACCAGGACGTGTACTCCGAGCATGTGCTGACCAACTGGCAAGTGTCTTCACTGACATTTTCAACATGTCCCTGACTGAGTCTGTAATACAAACATGTTTCAAGCAGACCACCATAGTCCCCGTGCCCAAGGACTCTAAGATAACCTGCCTAAATGACTACCGACCCGTAGCACTGACATCTGTAGCCATGAAGTGCTTTGAAAGGCTGGTCATGGCTCACATCAACAGCATTATCCCAGAAACCCTAGACCCACTCCAATTTGCATACCACCCCAACAGATCCACAGATGATGCAATCTCTATTGCACTCCACATTGCCCTTTCCCACCTGGACAAGAGGAACACCTACGTGAGAATGCTATTCATTGACTACAGCTCAGCATTCAACACCATAGTGCCCTCTAAGCTCATCACTAAGCTAAGGATCCTGGGACTAAACACCTCCCTCTGCAACTGGATCCTGGACTTCCTGACGGGCCGCCCCCAGGTGGTAAGGGTAGGTAACAACACATCTGCCACACTGATCCTCAACACGGGGGCCCCTCAGGGGTGCGTGCTCAGTCCCCTCCTGTACTCTCTGTTCACCCATGACTGCATGGCCAGGCACGACTCCAACACCATCATTAATTTTGCCGACGACACAACAGTGGTAGGCCTGATCACCGACAACGATGAGACAGCCTATAGGGAGGAGGTCAGAGACCTGGCCGTGTGGTGCCAGGACAATAACCTCTCCCTCAACGTGACCAAGACAAAGGAGATGATTGTGGACTACAGGAAAAAAAAGAGGACTGAGCACGCCCCCATTCTCATCGACGGGGCTGTAGTGGAACAGGTTGAGAGCTTCAAGTTCCTTGGTGTCCACATCACCAACGAACTATCATGGTCCAAACACACCAAGACAGTCGTGAAGAGGGCACGACAAAGCCTATTCCCACTCAGGAGACTGAAAATATTTGGCATGGGTCCTCAGATCCTCAAAAAATTATATAGCTGCACCATCGAGAGCATCCTGACTCAGTGCATCACCGCCTGGTATGGCAACTGCTTGGCCTCTGACCGCAAGGCACTACAGAGGGTAGTGCGTACGGCCCAGTACATCACTGGGGCCAAGCTTCCTGCCATCCAGGACCTCTATACCAGGCGGTGTCAGAGGAAGGCCCTCAAAATTGTCAAAGACTCCAGCCACCCTAGTCATAGACTGTTCTCTCTGCTACCGCACGGCAAGCGGTACCGGAGTGCCAAGTCTAGGTCCAAAAGACTTCTCAACAGCTTCTACCCCCAAGCCATAAGACTCCTGAACAGCTAATCATGGCTACCCGGACTATTTGCACTGCCCCCACACCCCATCCTTTTTACGTTGCTGCTACTCTGTTAATTATTTATGCATAGTCACTTTAACTCTACCCACATGTACATATTACTTCAACTACCTCAACTAGCCGGTGCCCCCGCACATTGACTCTGCACCGGTACCCCCCTGTATATATAGCCTCCCTACTGTCATTTTATTTTACTTCTGCTCTTTTTTTTCTCAACACTTTTTTTGTTGTTGTTTTATTTTTACTTTTTTTGTTAAAAATAAATGCACTGTTGGTTAAGGGCTATAAGTAAGCATTTCACTGTAATGTCTGCACCTGTTGTATTCGGCGAATGTGACCAATAAAATTTGATTTGATTTGATTTGATCATGCTTTGGGGCTGTTTTTCTGCAAAGGGACCAGGACGACTGATCCGTGTAAAGGAAAGAATGAATGGGGCCATGTATCGTGAGATTTTGAGTGAAAACCTCCTTCCATCAGCAAGGGCATTGAAGATGAAACGTGGCTGGGTCTTTCAGCATGACAATGATCCCAAACACACCGCCCGGGCAACGAAGGAGTGGCTTCGTAAGAAGCATTTCAAGGTCCTGGAGCGGCCTAGCCAGTCTCCAGATCTCAACCCCATAGAAAATCTTTGGAGGGAGTTGAAAATCCGTGTTGCCCAGTGACAGCCCCAAAACAGCACTGCTCTAGAGGAGATCTGCATGGAGGAATGGGCCAAAATACCAGCAACAGTGTGAAAACCTTGTGAAGACTTACAGAAAACGTTTGACCTGTGTCATTGCCAACAAAGGGTATATAACAAAGTATTGAGAAACTTTTGTTATTGACCAAATACTTATTTTCCACCATCATTTGCAAATAAATTCATAAAAAATCCTACAATGTGATTTTCTGGATTTTTTTTTTCATTTTGTCTGTCATAGTTGACGTGTACCTGTGATGAAAATTACAGGCCTCTCTCATCTTTTTAAGTGGGAGAACTTGCACAATTGGTGGCTGACTAAATACTTTTTTTCCCCACTATATGAAAACCAAACTGACCATTCTTTCAATTCAATTCACAAAATGGTTAAAAACATAGGACAAAACATAGGATGATGCACAAAAACTGACGTGGCAATGCAATCTATTTTGAAGTCTTATCACTCACCAGTAACCATGGGGAATTGACATCAACATGGCTGATAACAGAGAATTCTCTGTTGACAGTTTGATCTTGATTCAAGTGCCTCTGTAATACAGCTGTCACCTCATAGCAAACACTCCCATACTTCCCCTTGAAAGAGGTAACAAGGGGCCTGGAAGACAACAGAATACATACAGGATATTCATCGGTTCAAATATGAAACAATATTCTACATAATGTACTTCATTATGGAATGTCACTCATTATTCATTTGACAGAAAAGCCTAATTCATTCAGGCATGCTGAAAAAAAGTATACAATGGAAAGTCTCCATTAGCTGTTGCAGTTAGTACAGTAACCAGACATCATCATGAGGCAAATCAAGCTTTGATTGCATAATTTCCTATTCCATCTGAAAAGTTCTCACTCACGTTTGAGTGAGCTCCACATGAAAGGGGAACTCATAACGCCCTTCATCAAGACTGATGAATTCCTCACCATCTGAAACAAAAGAAGACAATTCAGTCAATAAATATAGTAATCAACATGTTACAACAGTATTATTATAAATCACTGACTGTAAAGCATAGGGCCTGCTAAAGGTCTAGTAATTCCATAACTTCCTAAAGGTAGTGTACATTACAGCCCTGATAAAATACTATATCTACATCAAAATCCAGCCTGGTCTCATAGACTAGATGTAACATAGTAAAGTAAAGCAAATTAGTATGATAGTAAGGAGGGTGGTTGGTCGGGGTGGATGGGTAGCTGTATAACGCGAACGTCTAGCAACCCAAAGGTTGCGTGTTCGAATCTCATCATGGAGAACTTTAGCCAATTAGCAACTTTTCAACTACTTACAACTTTTTTGCTACTTTGCAACTACTTAGCATATTAGCTAACCCTTCTCCTAACCATTTAACCTAACTCCTAACCTTAACCCCTAGCCTAGCTAACCCAAAGGTTGCGTGTTCAAATCTCATCATAGGCAACTTTAGCATTTTAGCTAATTAGCAAATGTTCAACTACTTACTACTTTTTAGCTACTTGCAACTACTTAGCATGCTAGCTAACCCTTCCCCTAAACTCAACCCTTTTAGCTAACACTTCCCCTTGAACCTAATGCCTAACCCTAACCCCTAGCTAACCCAAAAGTTGCGTGTTCAAATCTCATCACAGACAATTTTAACATTTGTGACCCGTTTTAAGAAGCTAGGTGTTTGTCGCACGGCATTACTTCACAGGAGAGGCATTAATAACGCGATCGTCTAGCAATCCAAAGTTTGCGTGTTCGTATCTCATCATGGGCAACTTTAGCATTTGAGCTAATTAGCAACTTTTCAACTACTTACTACTTTTTAGCTAATTGCAACTACTTAGCATGCTGGCTAACCCTTCCCCTAACCTCAACCCTTTTAGCTAACCCTTCCCCTTTAACCTAATGCCTAACCTTAACCCTAACCCCCAGCCTAGCTAACGTTAGCCTAGCTAACGTCTAGCAAACCATAGGTTGCGTGTTCGAATCTCATCACGGACAACTTTAGCATTTTAGCAGCTTTTCAACTACTTACTACTTTTAAGCTACTTTGCAACTAATTAGCATGTTGGCTAAACCTTCCCCTAACGCTTTAACCTAACCTTAACCCCTAACCCCTAGCTAACGTTAGCCACCTAGCTAACATTAGCATTAGCCACCGAGCTAACGTTAGCTGCAACAAATTGTAATTCATAACATTTCATTCGTTTTCCAATTCTTAACATTTTGTATGTTTTTTCAAATTCGTAACATATACAAATTGTAATTCATAACATACCATACAAAGTGGATGACCCATCCACAAATTAATACATACCATACGAAACATATCACACTAAATGAAGTGACCAGATGTACATATAGAATCATACGAAATGCTCTGAGACCAGGTTGCAAAATGAGATCGGTACCTGGTGTTTCTTTGAGAGTTTGAGATATGCATAAGTATTCCACCTGCTCCTGCACACACTGAGATGATGTGTTTGCTATAGCAGCACTGCTCGGTGATGGTGCTTGTCGAGGCCCTTTACCCCAGTAGACCTGGGCACATCCTCTGGTCGATATTTTGACAGCTTTGATTTGTGCTGACACACCTGTAGACACCTCGACCACAACGTGTCCAGATAGAACTTCACCAGCACTGTATTCACGCTTGTCTTCATTGTTGAACATGATACAGAATACCTTCACTTTGTCAGCCATCGTTGGACGTTACTTCTGTAAAAGGAGACAGGTGGTTTTATACAGAAACCTATAATGATGATGATAAGCTCCAACTTTCTCACTAGAATAGATGGGCTATCGACTAGACTAGAAATATGTAAATCTTACCTGTTGTCCTCGGATTCGATATGGGAACGTCAAGCTCGAATTTGGCAATGGACCAGCTGGTAACACATTTCATGAGAAATATTCAGTATTATAGGTCAAACACAATTGACACTGTTATCATTGTTTTACATTACAGTAATTGGGACAATTTCTCACGCTGTTCAGAGAACGCGGAGTTGCAGAGCGAAGGATTTAGATACACGCAGAGCTCAGGGCTGTATTCATTACGCCGATTATGTTGACAAACATTCTTAAATGGAAGCAAACAGAACGAAACGGGGAGGGACCTACATCAATTTCTCCAATAGAAACTCTCGTTTTGGACTAATGCTTACACCCCAGTACACGCAATAATTGGGTTTGACTTTGGAACGTGTAGGCTCTACCATTGGACAGAACCTTGTTGGCTGTGATGACAGACCATACACAGCCAAGAAAGTGCGATATTTACCAACATGCATGGTCCATTGCATTGGTCCAATGGGGGACAAGCCAGTGCGCATGAACAGTTGAGTCATGACGGGTTTCGATTCTGTCTTTGGCGCCAGGGTGGGCATAGTTTGCAACGGGTGATAAGTGATTCCATTCGTTTTGGAACCGGCTGCCTCCCAGGAGTCACAAAACAAAACTGAGGTAGGTTAAGCACGTGGCGTAATGTGTAGGATAATGTGTTTTCACAAAACGGAAAACTAGTTTGAACATTAGAACATATATTTTATGGAAAATAGATGTTGTATGTTTCTGAATGATGCATTTACATTTAAGTCATTTTGCAGACGCTCTTATCCAGAGTGACTTACAGTTAGTGAGTGCATACATTATTTTTTAGATTTTTCATACTGGCCCCCCGTGGGAATCGAACCCATAACCCTGGCGTTGCAAACGCCATGCTCTACCAACTGAGCTACATCCCTGCCGGCCAGTCCCTCCCCTACCCTGGATGACACTGGGCCAATTGTGCGCCTCCCCATGGGTCTCCCGGTCGCGGCCGGCTACGACAGAGCCTGGATGTGGAGCAGTTGCATCATGCTGCTTTGTTGACAACATGACTGTGAAGTGCAGACTACCTTTGGATTTTAGCAGGGTGCGCCTCCCTCACCGGCTTCGCCAGTGTGTTGCATTATGTGTATAACAATTGTCCTACTTGTGACTACATCAGAGACAGTACAATATGAAGATGGGCAGAAACTGCTCCACTGGAAGCAGGTGGGAGGAGCTATAGGAGGACGGGCTCATTGTAATGGCTGAAATTGATTAAATGGAATGGAGTGAAACATGTGGTTTCCATATGTTTGATGTGTTTGATGCATTCCATTAATTCCATTCCAGCCATTACAATGAGCCATCCTCCTATAGGTCCTCCCACCAGCCTCCATTGTGCTTCTCCAATAGAAATCCCCCATCACACTTGTAGGCGGTATCATGGCGACATTGGCTAGCTAAGTTCATGCTCAGAAACACGTCATCGGGTCTAACGGTCGTCTCGCGCCGAACTGTGTATGTGCAAGCCGACAAATCAAAGACACTCCTTCGATATAAAGGTGTTTTTGACTAAAATGAAAATTTGTAATTTTGTCACTTTCACGATGTTGGAGTAATAACTGAAAAATGAACAACAAAGGAATCATTTTTCACGTCTCTCATTGACTTCTCAAACCCTAAACCCCGGCTTAGTCTGCTCACAAGTGTTCCTGGAAGTCTTGCGATGTTGCACCTCTGATTTTAGAAACTCTGTGACTACATGTACATGTCGACTGCATGACCTTTACAACAACCATGTGATCAAAAGTCATGAACTTTCGACTGCAGTCGACTGGAAATATCTGCAGTTGTTCCTCACCAACTGTAACTTGAAGTCAGAACCAAAGCATTGTGGGAGACAACCAGTTTTTCTTGGAAGCAAAAGGCACTACATTCTCATAAATGGTTGATTTCGCCACCTATCATTGGTTATTATCAATGCATGTTTATTGTTTTGCGTGTATGACTATTTAGAGCTTAAATACATCTTTATCCTTACAATCTAATTAAATAGGCCTACATGTTATCCACATTTCTAACATAAATCAATTAAATATCCTACTTGCGACAATATAGCTCATGTATTTATCTATATGTTACTGTAGTGCAGTGTCCTATGTTATAGCCTAAAATTTGGTCTGTAATATTATCACCAAACAAATTCACATTTGTTGATTGTCTATTAAGCGTGAATAAAGTGGAATACATATTGTAGGCTACACATTTTTTTAGGCTTAATCTGTGTCTGGGAAACCGGCCCTTAATGAGCAAGCACCCCAGACTTGGGGTCAATACCAAGTGCATTTGACTGCTTGGCTGTTACAGGAGGGGGTCGCAGTTCCGGAGCGATCCACTAGGTGTCATCCTCTGACAACCTTAGGCACCTCCTCACTCACAGTCTGGACTAATCATTATCTTATTGGTGTCACCTGTGTCTACCTGTTCACCTGTGTATTTATGCCCTCACTTCCCTGTGTTCCCTTGCCCTGTTTTCTCTGCAAGTTCTCGATGCCAAACAGTACTAATCAGTGTCTGATCGAGAGACGTATGTACAGGTACTTGAGAAGTGTTCTCCCTGTTTCATTGTTGTTTTCAGTCATAGTTAGTATTTTCTTATGTTTGCTGTCAGCCTGTTTTTGGAGACCAATTCGCTCCTCCTTTATTTTTTTGTGACAAGTCCGTTATTTTGTATCCTGGTTTTGGGACCACCAGTAAAGATCCTTGTTTAATCATCTCTGCCTACTGCCTACTGTCTATCCTGCACCGCACCTGGGTCACACCTCACACCAAACCTTACATTTGGCATATTGCTTTGCATATTGCTTGGCATGTTGTTTACTCAGTAACGTATGTGAACTGATGTACATGTAGTCTAATCCTTTTCATATTGTTTACCCAGTAATTTATGTGAACTAATGTACATGTATAATCTAATCCTTTTCTGTACAGTGAGTGTTTTGTCCTTCTTGTGATTGAATCAAATTCTGTTCTTTACATGCTTACTGACATGCAACATAAAGGTTGAGAATTAAATAAATAAACTCCAGGCTGTAGTGATGTTGACATGCAATGAATTACCATACCGTAATAATCTTTGTGGACAACATTTAATCACATCTGTTACAATTCCAATTTGCACAATCAACAGAAACACCAGAAACAACAGAGCACATCCCATATGCTGCAGAAACACCTGTATGTTCTCATTCTAGTAGCCTATGAAGTCACTACCTGGTTATATTTTGAGAAAACCATCACAAAAATACAAAACAAGTCTTGTGAATGTTAGAAAGAGCTTGGGCTGGTATCCAATTTCCTTATCATGAGGATATTAATTCCTTGGACCATTTTGATCATGTTCAGCTTTGGGTTGGAGAAGTGGAATTTCGATAGCATCCACTTAATCTGCAACAACAATGGCGAATGCCATGTCTGCCATTGTCGCGTTTCCTAGAAACAGCTGAAGTTGTCCGACTTGCTGTACATATGTACCACCTCCAACTTTACTCGTCAACTTCCGTCTACAGTCAGCTACTTTCGGCTTACCATTCAAACGCGCCCACTAACTCAGCCAAAGCTTGTTGGCCAAAGCCTATGGTTAAATTAATGGGGGTTTTGGATAAATGCAGAAAATAAGGTCTGTAGTAAACACAGGCTTAGGAGAACTTATACGGTTTGTTGTATAATATAATCTTCATCAGCTAACGTCACTTTTTGTGGATTTTGAAGCATTTATGTAATCAAAACAAGCACATAAAGCAGACTGATATTATTTAATAGAACAAAATGTATAAGATCTCCTAAGACCTTATTTTCGGGAAACACTGTTTTTACTCCACTTCGATACCGAAGTTACTTTTTCGTAGCAGGTTAATAGAACTTATGCAGCAGGTTAGGAGAATTAACGCAGCAGGCTAGGAGACTGAGGTTAAGGTTAGGAAAAGGGTTAGGTTAGGGTTAGCAAAAAATGCTCTCCTAACCTGCTATGAAAATGACTTTATCGAAGTGGCGTGAAAAGTGTCCCCTTATTTTCGGTGTTTATCCCAAAACCACATTCTTTTCCCATTCATTTCCCCCATAGGAATGGCTGAACAGAGGTAAACATTTCTGTTTTTTAAGACTACAAGCTGGTGAGCTCTATGTTATGTTGTATTATCCACGTGGACAGTCAGTGCTACTCTCACTCCCAATAATAAATGTTTCCATAGATATGAGATGATGGAGAGGAGAGAGAAACAAGAAATCTTTAAGTGATTCATTTTATATTCCTTTATGTTATAAAATGATTGCATGTATGTTTCTAAATATATGTACAGTATAGCCAATTAAGCCTATGCAATACGTTTGTATTACTATAAAAGTAAATAGAGACCTAAATCTGCAACTCCATTCAAATTTTGTTACATAATTCCGAATCAAGGCGGTCGGTCACATAAAGGTTCATGATGGATTAAATTAATAATCAATCTATAATAAAAAATACAATGTCATGTACTATTATATTACTACAGTACTAGCCTATGTTACATTAATAGATTATGGAGTTTGTACATGATACATTGAAGCATGAGTTGTTTTTTTTTGTTACAACTATAAAAGTATTGCCTAAAGTAAACTAGGAATCATGCTATCATTCTAAGAAGCCTTGAAAGGAAAAAGTATAATTTACTAGTGAGCCTAGGTCCTATCCTATAGGAGTAGTATTACAGAATAGTAGCAATATGTCATTCTATCACTACTATGCTATGTGCAATTCTGTCTCTAGGCTAGTGCAATCTCTATTCACTGTTCTTGTATGGCCAATGCATTGAATCTTATAAATCTAAAATGCATAGTTGAAAGGTAGGGAT